TTGTGCAAAATGACATCAGAAATCAATTTGTTTACAGTTCAAAGAAAACTGTTTTTTGTATGTTCTGCAATATTTAAATATCAACTACAGTTTTGTCTGTCAGTTTAAATTGTTATGTTTCATCAGAGGTGAATGTTTGGAACAATTCTGTCATGTTTAGTTTTTTCCTCCCCCTCTATTTTGTCTTGTTCTCATCAAAAGAACTGCTTCTAGTAGAGAAGCTGATTGTCAGAGTTGCAGCGTTGCCTCGCTCCGTTCACGCCTGCGAGGTCACTGTAAGTCGACTGTGTGGAGAGAACATCTGTCCCGGAGCTTCTTTTGAATATTTATTTGACTTTCTTGCCTTTTAGAGGAAAGCTGTTCACTAAACTGTTTGTGTCTTAGTCATGTTTTTACAAGAAAACAATATATATAATAGGCTTGTGTGTTTTATTGTCAATGTGCTCTTGAATGTCATGTTATCATGTTGCGTTCACTTAGCACCTGTTGACGTCTGTGAATATCGCTCACTACAGCACTGAGAAGTTACAGAAGCATTTTTTTTGTGTTATGTCTCAAAAGGCTGTAGTTGGATGTTGAATGAAACTAAACCTTATCAAAGGGGGTTTGTCTTTATAATCTTTACCCCGAATTTCGAAGATGCACGCTCACACTGGAGACGCAAGCGTCTTCATACAAGCAACCAATGTCCGTCTCATGGTTTACTGGTTTTTTTGTTGTTTTTTTTTTTCTCTTTTGAGAGCAATGAACATTTATGCTGTCAAACCAAACCGTCACTATGTAACCTGCCTTGGCATTATTAGATGTATCCTTTGAAAATACCCTAATATTTCTGTGCAATAGCGAGGACTTCTGTTGACCTGTAAAGAAATATATTTGATTTGAAGAGTGTGCACTGCAATGGGCCGTGTGTTATACAATATTAGCCTTTGCATTGAGCACTTAAAAATCTCCAGCGACATCAAGGTGAACTTGGCTTCTCCTCGCTGTACAGGGGAGTTAAAAACAAAATGGACGTGTGTTTTGCCAAGGTTCTGTTTTTATTCTATATTTAAAATGTGGTGTTGATGTGACTTTCTGCTCAGGGAGGCTGAGATTGTTTTTCTAAACCTGTCATTACAGCAAACCTCTGCTCACCCCCCTTCTAGTTTGACATCTGACAATGGCTTTAACTAATCCGCCTAGAACTTGCTTATGAATGAGAGCACCACAAGTAACGGTTTTGTAAATGCAATATTTGAAAACTATTTAAATGTTTTAGAGAGAAGTGTTTGTTCGAACTATGTATTATTACATTGTTTATATCAGAGCCAAACTAGTGACTTGTTTTTGTGTTTATTTATAATATTTTTAGCAAAACCTTGAAGCAAATCTACAAATGTGAACAAATTAAATGATTCAAATGTTGTTTTTACAAAACATTATAAAACGTACTTATAGACTCACAGGTCACAGTGTGATTTCAAGTTGTGCAGCGTGTTTGAATGGAGGGTGATGTCCACACAAGTCTCTGGAGTGGACCTCTTATCTAGTCCACAGTGATAAACTGTCACCACCTCCATTCTTATCACTGGAATGCATTCAAATAATAATGGAGGTTTTTTTTTTACCCACTGACGAGCACGGTCTTTCAGTCTTAGAGCAAAAACCATGGCACATTCAGATTTTGTGATACTTTCAATCCAAACCCTGGGCTTGCACTCAAATAGCCCCTAGCTGCTCGTGCTTAGATTTGCTTTTGTTCCGCCCTTGTGTTTGGTGTGTTAGCATTACTACTTTCAAAGTCCCGTACAGGGCGTTTATATAACTGCAACAAGGGTGGGATTATTTCAAGTGCAGGAAATCCATCAAAGCCAAAAAATATCTGAGTGCAAGCACAGCAAATCTAGGCCCAAGCAGGGGTTATTTGAGTGAACAAGAAATCAATTAGTCCAGCTCTCAAACTGAAAGACCACGCTCTTGAATAAAGGGGATAAAAACCCCATAATAATGTCTCTCTTGAAATAAACACTGGGAGATTGCACGAGTTAGGAACAATGCAGGCGTCAACAGGAACGGGAAAGAACAAAATTGATTGAAATGCTTATTGGATCAGTGAAGAAGAGTCAGGTTATTGTTTTCACTCAGCTTTCATGCAGGACTGTCCCAGATCAACAACCTATGCAATATACTCTCACAGTCTGTTTTCATTCAAACAGCCTCGTGGCAACTGGCGTCCGAAACACTTATCGCATTAAAGTTATTTTTTGTGGCTGTATTATTTGGATTCTGTGTTTTTTTTTTGTTGA